GGCCCAGTACCCATCCTCGGCCTGTTAGGAATCAGGCCACACAGCAGGAGAGAGAGCAGTGCTTCGTATGTGTTTACAGCCACCCCCATGGCTCACATCATGCCTGAGCGCCACTTCCTGTCACATCAGCAGCTGCATTAGCTTCAGGAAAACAAGCTCAGGGCTCCCACTGATTCTGCATTATGATGAGTTGTATAATTATTTCATTATATATTACAATGTAATAATAATAAAGTGCACAATATATGTAATGTGCTTGAATCATCCTGAAACCATCCCCTTTACCCCCCGCCCCAGTGTGTGGAAAAATTGTCTTCCATGAAACCAGTCCCGGTGCCAAAAATGTTGGGGACCACTGATCTAAAATACCAAATAATTTTAAATTAGCAAATGATATATGTTCATGTACAGAAAATACTAAAACATGATTAGCATCTACAGAAAGGGAAAACAAATTTTGTATATCTGGACTCAACTTATAGTTTTATTTATGAAGGATATTAACATTTTATGCCTTTATAAACATACCTGAAGAACTTACATGCCAGGATGAGAAATTTTAAAACTTGTTATTACATAAAATTTAAACATTCCCTACTTAATTTTAAGAGACAGCTGTAATGAATGTAGACCCTCTTACTTTAACTACAACTTAAGGGAAATAAAGCCTAGAGCTGTGGGTCTGCAGCATCAGCCCCACCCCTCACCTTGGCCAACACAAACCCCATGGCCCACTCTCTGACAGACAGATGTGAAGAAGGTATATCTCATGGTCTGTGTATCCCCACCAGACAGGCAGGGTTAGTCTAAATTTATTTTCTGTTGTTCATAGTATGAAGAAAATACATTTTTATTCTTCATTGTAAAAGTATATTACATCTACTTTTCTTTTTTTCAATTTTTTTATTGATACATAATAATTATGCACATTTATGGGGAACGTGATATATTGACACATGCATACCATGACACATGCATACAATAAATAATGATCAAATTAGGGTATTTAGGATGTCCATCACCTTAAACATTTATCATTTCTTTGTTCTGAGAACATTTCAAATCTTCTCTTCTAGCTAGTTTGAAATATACAATAATATATTGCATTATTGTATATGTATTGTATATGTTTTTTCAAGTTACCATGGATGTCTTCCTGCCCCAAGAAGATTCTGATGTTCCTTTCCCTTCCTCATGTTTGAGAATCTTAGTAGAGGACACAATTAAGTTTTAACAACTAAGTATAGGATCTTGACATCTTTGGTGCTATAGAGAGAAATTTCTGTTTTGGCATCAGCAGGGCAGGGAAAGGTGTCAGTGGCATTCTGTGCAGAAGCCCTGTAGGAAGCAGCTGGCCTGAGTCATCTGTGGCCTGTCAGCAGCAGAGCAGGGCTGGGCTTGCCCCTTGGGTGACCAGCAGGGGTGGGAACCATGGTGGCTACTGTCAACAGCAATGATGGAAATCAAACTGCCCCAACGAAGGGCTCCCAGGAGGCCCTGGGGCCTAACCCTCCTTGCTGTCCCCAGGGCTCAGTTGCAGCAGACTTGGAAAGCAGCCCGACAGCAGAGGTGCCCCACCAAGAGTCACTAGCTGCCTTATGATGCTTGTTAGAGTAAAAGGTGCAGAGAAGTTTGACAGATAGAAGCTTTCGGCTTTTAGCAGTTATAGACTTGTTTTGAATAAAAAAGGGTCCCTGTTTGTACTCTCAATACTATGCTCACTCATTATTGTTGGACATTTATAATATTGTACACTTATCTTTATGACACTGAAGTTACAATTGCTCCAAAACTCTAAAAATTGGGAGGGAGTGATTTGAACAAGACTATGTTTTAATTTAAAAGCTGAAGTATTGTTAAGAAGATGAATCATTAAGGTCTTCTGACTTTCAAAGTGTGTATTTCAGGCCGGGCGCGGTGGCTCACGCCTGTAATCCTAGCACTCTGGGAGGCCGAGGCGGGAGGATTGTTCGAGGTCAGGAGTTCGAAACCAGCCTGAGCAAGAGCGAGACCCCGTCTCTACTATAAATAGAAAGAAATTAATTGGCCAACTAATATATATATAGAAAAAATTAGCCGGGCATGGTGGCACATGCCTATAGTCCCAGCTACTTGGGAGGCTGAGGCAGAAGGATTGCTTGAGCCCAGAAGTTTGAGGTTGCTGTGAGCTAGGCTGACGCCACGGCACTCACTCTAGCCTGGGCAACAAAGCGAGCTCTCTCAAAAAAAACAAAGTGTATATTTCATTGTGCTTCGTTCTCACCAAACTTCATAACTTTCGAGTTATTTGCTTAAGTGTTGACTTTTATGTTATTTGAATATTATTGGTCTTTGCTGGAGAGGACTAAAAAATTCTAAGAAAGTAGCCTAAATCATGAGAGAGAGATTCCCTACAATTTTTCTAAATATTTATTATAGTTAGTAATAAAGAAAAGTAAAATTGACTCAGGTGTCAGTTCTTTTGTTATTTTCAGTAGAAATGTGAGTTCTCCTCCATTATCTCATCTATCTACCAAAGCTAAAGAGACCTTGCAAAAATACTGTGTTAATAA